AGGTGAAGGTTTACAGAACAAATAGTTTCTCATTAAACAGTCAGTACACATATTGTTTTATGGCATTGGTTAACAACCCCACAACATGTCAACCCTCTCCCTTCTCGACCTTTTTTTTTTTTTTGTGAAAATATACATAGCCAAAGATACACCATTCCAGAAATTTCTACATGCACAGTTCAGTGATACCGATTACATTCTACCAGTTGTGCTGCTCTTCTCACTTTAGATGAAGATTTACAGAACAAAATACTTTCTCATTAAGCAGTTAGTACACATGTTGCCCTATGACAATGGTTAACAACCCCACCACATGTCAACACTGTTCTTACTCAGCCTTGGGTTCCCTATCACCAGCTTTCCTGTCCCCATCTGCCTTCTAGTCTTTGTCCCTGGACTGCTGTGCCTCATTAGTCCCATTTTGTTTTATGGGGCTGTCCAGTCCCTGGTTAATGTTTGTTTTTGTGTGTTGTTTAAAAGGGGGAGGGGTGTTGAATTTGGACATTGGATATCCAACAGTTATCTTCTAGGCAATTGGAAATTCAGTCTAGAGTTCTGGGAAGAAGATAGTGCTAGAAATGAATATTTTTGTAGTTTTCAAAATGAGAATTGAAGCCATAGAACAAGATGGCCTAGGAGAAGATTTAGAGGAAAGAGAAGAAGGCCACTGGAGTGACCACTGTAGAAGACTGGCATTTAGGGGACACAGGCAAGACTAGCCAGGAGAGGAGAAAGAGGAAGCAGAGTGGGGGAAGGCGGATCAGGAGACTTCAGTTGATAGGCAAGCAGGTTGGGAGGAAAGTGTTTCCTGAAGGAAAGGTAAGGTGTCCAGCAGTGTCAAATGCTATAGGAGTCAAGTAGAGGACATGGGGTAGAGTGGTTAAAAGGTCTTTGAGGACTTTTGAAAACTGCAGTTTCTTCTAGAATTTTCCGATTCAGAGATATTAGGTAGTGAGGAAATAAGATCGATACGTGTCGATTACTCTTTTGAGATGCTTGGTGGTAAAAGGAAGAAGAGAGATGGTAGCCCAGTAGATACTTGGACAAAGGGAAGGAGGGTAGTTTTCCTTTTCTTAGTTTAGGAATGGCTTGTTTGCAGGGAGAGAGGAGAAGGTGAGAGGAGAGAGTGACGGGTGCTGAAAGGTCCCTGGGAGGTGGCAAAAGCGAAGAGGTTGGGCGAATGCTGGAGGGATTGGTCTACGGAAGGAGCAAGGATGCTCTCTGAGACAGGAAGGCAGGAGGAAACACTGAGGGAGGTGGTGTGGGAATGAAATGCCATGACATGTGAAAGCACCTGACGTGGTGGTTGTTGTATAGTAGGTGCTCGGTAAATGATTAGTTGATTGGTCCTGCCCTCTATCTGACTCCCTTCCTTATCCTGAGCTCAGATGCATTTTTCCAGCTGTTGGCTGGACATTTCACCTGAGCTCAGTTAAAAATCTGTCTCTAAAATAATTCTTAAGTTCTCTCCCCATTCTTCTCCACCTTCTTGCTTGGATCATTAGCATCTCTTCCTAACTGGACCCCCCTTTCATGTCTCGCTTGCCGTGCACACTATACCGTTGCCCAGCAGGTCTTTCTAACCCACAGCGATCTGATCATATTACTTTCCTTCCTAAATCCCCAAGGCTTCCCATTGCCTGGTACATAACGTGTGTGCTGCTACCGGATGTCACTCTGTCTTCCCAGCTTCCCACCTGTCCTGTGGTCTCCTGCCACTCAATGTCACTTTCCTGCTCCCAGCATACTGAGCTTCTTACTGGTCCCTAAACGTGCCATGATCTGCCATGCTCCATGCTTTGCTCCTCTGTCTACAACGTCCTTTCTCCTTTCTCTGCGGACTCATTTCTCACACTTGGAGACCAGTCTGTAGTCAGCACCCTGCAAAGCTGTCCTCACTTTCTCCAGGCAATGCCACCTGCTCCTATTTTACGTTCTCTCTGTGCGGGTCTATAGTAGAGCATTCAAGCTATATTGCAATTAATTAATTTCCTGTCTGTCCCACTGGGCTGTGAGCTCGCTAAGGGCACTTGTATTCCCAGTACCAGCATGAGGCTTGGCATAAAACCTGGTAGAGTCTCAGTGGTTATTGTTGAATGAATTAACAGATGCCCTGTGTAATGGGAAAGCCTATGGCACTGTCAGGTATGATGTGTGCCCGAGTTTTTGAGAAGTGTCAGATAGAGAGAGCCATGTTCTCCTCCAGCGCTCCTGGTGGGGTCTTTGTTAGGTGTGGTTGAATGCCTGGCTTATTGGCAGGCTGGTTGGCCAGGACCCCCTCTCCTGTTGATATCTGGGCTCTTGTCACCAGATGGGACTGAGTATGGGCTGAGTGAAGCTGACATGGAGGCCTCCTACGCCACAGTGAAGAGCATGGCTGAGCAGATCGAGGCCGATGTCATTCTCCTGAGGGAACGGCAAGAAGCTGGGGGCCGTGTGCGGGATTACCTGGTCCGGAAACGAGTAGGAGACAATGACTTCCTGGAGGTCAGGTGAGAAGGCCTCGGCAATTCAGTATCCCTTCAGCGTGACCTTGGGGTCTAGGGCTTCACAAAGCCTGGTGATTGAGCCTTCAACACCTCGTGTCAGCTGCACTCCATCCTTGGCTGCCTATCTTTCCCTTCCTGAGACGTGGAAAGAGTGTCCTGGGATGTGATGGTTCCTTTCTCTATTTCTGCACTTCCCCATCCTTGGATACTTCCATTTGGGAAGAGTGGGAGAGGGCCTAGCCACATATTCTTTGGGCTTCATTTGCTTTCCTGTCAGCCTGTGAGGCTAGAAAGCCAGGGGGAAGGGAGGAAAACACCTCCCAGGGGAGGTCAAGTTAGCATTTGTGCCTGTCTTGGCTTTGGGGATCCTTCCTGGCAGCTTTGCGGAAGCTAGTGGAAGTTAAGGGAGATAACTGTTGGGGTTGGGATCCTAGTTCCTCTTGAATAACTCTTTCTACTCGCTGGATACAGCTCCAGGGGCATTTCCCAGTGTGCTTATCTGTGAATAGGAGGAACGGTGAGCCCAAGAGGCTCGGGGGCCAGCCTGTACTTACAGATCCACATACTGAGGCACTGAGTTGCCTCTTCACTTGGCTTACCCACTCTCCCTCACGTGGATGTCTGGGTTCGTGTACATGCAGGGTGGCAGTAGTGGGCAACGTGGATGCCGGCAAAAGCACGCTTCTGGGAGTCCTGACACACGGGGAGCTGGACAATGGCCGAGGCTTTGCCCGCCAGAAACTCTTCCGCCACAAACACGAGATTGAATCTGGTCGCACCAGCAGCGTGGGCAATGACATTCTGGGCTTTGACAGTGAAGGCAATGTGGTGAACAAGCCAGACAGCCACGGCGGCAGCCTTGAGTGGACGAAGATCTGTGAGAAGTCCACAAAGGTCATTACCTTCATTGACTTGGCTGGCCATGAGAAATACCTGAAGACCACTGTCTTTGGCATGACTGGCCATTTACCTGACTTCTGCATGCTCATGGTAAGTGAGGTGCTCCTGAGGAGGGGAGGCTCCAGCAGGGCTGGCTGGGGTGTGGTTCTGGGCAAATGTTTGAAATTGTTCTGAGATGAGGCCTCTCTGCTTGGGGCTTTGACATTGGGTCAAGGTGACGAGTTTTGCAGGAGCGACCAGTCCTGTGAGTTCTACAGTCTTGTTGCAAGGGTGTGCCTTGACATCTCTTCTAGGTTAGACCAGGAAGGAACCTTCTTAGTAAAAATCAAGGTATCATTTGCAGACCTTTGTTATTGTTGGGAGGGGCATAGAGGAGGGTTTCTCTTGAGGCTTACTTATTACCTCCAAGAGTGTTCTCTCCTGTGGCTTGGCCTACTTTGAGGAGGTGGCACTCTCAGAGATGGGAGGGTTGGGAAAAAATGAAGGAGAGTGCCGTAAGGAGGCACAAGCAGCATTCACGAGGGGCCTGCAAGGTGATTCTTCCAAAGCCTGTGGGGAGTGTCTGCCAGTGCACGGTACTTGTTGAAGGGCCTGGTGATACAGCAGTGAACAAGGCTGTCCTTGGGCCATTAGAGCTGACAGGCTAGTGTGACTGGACTCTGAAGCAGCTCGTCATGCAGATGAACTGAAAGGCAAAGGGAGCAGAGGGCGTCTGCACTGGACCACGTTGCTAAGCTTGCTTTGTGTCCCACTTATCTTCCTCCCGGGACAGACATTAGGAGTCCGTGAGGTCCACAACCTGGCACACAGCTTTCACAAAAAGAATGAGCAAGTTTTCTTTGGCAAGCTCTTCCTAAACCCCTTCCCATTCCCCACGTCCTCCAGCTGTCTGTGCTAATAAGTGTAGTAAACACAAGCATCTGTTTAGAGCAAACTTGATCAAGTTACCCCACAAACACAGGTTCTCAGGCAAATTCTCCCCAAACTGAAGAATAAAGAGAGGCAGAACATATGTGTAAACACTTTTGTCAGCTCTCTGCCTAAGGTTCTTGGGATCTCAGCCAGATTTCATCTGTCATTTCTTTGAGCATTGCCAAAGGGTCATTACTGACTTCCTCGGCTGGGCGACAGAAAGTCTTAATGGAAGATCCATCGAGCATATTTGGGGGGTTACTGGGTTTTAAAATACGCATTTTCTAATTGAACTATAGTGATCAGGACCAACTTGTAGAAATATCTCCACCCCTGATGAAATGTTAAATATTAAATGTTAAAAATATTAAAAATTTCTATGGTAAACAATGAAATATTTTATTATTGTTCCATGGCCATCAATTTCCATACATTCATATCATACAAAAAGGAAAGGTACCAAAGGGTTTATAGTGAAAATTCTCTCTTTTATGCTGTCACCCAGCTATCCACCTCCCAGAGGCGACCAGTGTTTCCAGTTTCTTGTGTCTGTTCAGGGTTATTTTGTACTTATACCAGCACATGTATATATATTCTTCCTCTCCAATTCAAATATTCAGAAAAGTTCAAAGAATAGTACAATGAATACCTATAAGCCCACCACTTAGGTTCAACAATCATTAACATTTTGCCATGTTTATCTATATATGTGGCGAATGCGTATGTGTATGTATGGTTTTTTGGCAGAGTCATTTGTAAACAATTGTGACTCTTCATCCCCAAATACTTTAGCATACAGCTTCGAAAAGTAAGGACGGTCTCCTACCACTAGGAGCCAAGAAAACGAACAATAGTTCCTTAATTTAATATCTAGTCTATGCATATATATACACACACACTCTCAGATGTTCCCAAAATGTCTTAACGCTGGTTTTTATTTTCAAATAATGATCCAGTTACCACTAACCATTTTTTTTTAACCCACATGGTAGCATGCTATACCCACTGTTAACACATCTTGCTTTTTCTTCCCCCTTAAAAATATAACTTGGTTATTATCGCATATCAGTAGATAAGAGTTTTACTGGAGGGAATAATAACTGTAATAACAGCTGCCATTCTTCTACACCAGTTCCAGGCTAGTTCTGTGCCAAACCCTTCACAGATATTTAAACTTTAAGTGACTCTCTGTGGATATTGTTATCCTCCCATTTTACAGATGGGAAAAACGAGGGCCAGGGGTATTAACTTGAGTCCACTTTGTTTTCCCAGATGTCTGGGTTTTTATTTTCTATTGTTTCCAAGTTTCCTCTGATTTTGATAGCTCACATCATTTAGTCAGAAGTTAAAATGATCCATGTCCAGCCCAGCCTTCATCTACAGCCGTTTTTTTTCCTGGCCTTAGGCATGTGCCCACGAGCCCTGTTCGGACGGCAGCCTCAGAGATGGGCTCTCTTTTACCCAGCCTTCTTTCAGCCCCTGTGCCCACCCAGCAGCATTCCATGTCTCCCTTGTCCTGACAGTTCCTTTCTGTGTTGGGACAGGTGGGCAGCAATGCTGGCATTGTGGGGATGACCAAGGAGCACCTGGGCTTGGCCTTGGCACTCAATGTGCCTGTCTTTGTGGTGGTTACCAAGATTGACATGTGTCCTGCCAACATCCTGCAAGGTAAGTGAGGTCTCCAATTAATCGCAGCCTCTCTGTTCGGGGCCGTCACCCATGTGGACTCATTGGTGGTCTGCTACCAGGGCTTCAACCCAGAATCTTCTGTTTCTTCCTCCCCTGTCTAGATCTAAGTCTGAGCACAGCCTAGAATCATCTCCTGCTCTTTATTCCTTCTGGTTCCAAGTGCGGGATCGTTGAGATCCCTGATCTGGTACCTTCTTTTCGATGGCCCCAGGCAGAAGGGGTTGAGTCCTACCCTGTAAGGTGGATATATGTGTAGAAATTTGGGCAGAGGGTCTGGTTACCTTTTAGCACCAAAGGCTTCAGCACAGGGCTGCAGGGGTAGGCCTTCATGCGTTTCTCCTACATTGCTGCAGATTGTAGTAGAGAAGCCCTTTTGGAGGGCCTTGTAAGGGCCTTGGCAGGTTTATAGATGTCCAAGAGATCCTTTTGGCAGATGAACATTTTTCTAGGAAGCAGAGCACTCTGGGAAGAACATTATTCTTCTCAGGGCCCCTAAGTCACTTGCTTATAGGATGTGAGTCTTCTAAAGACTAGAGGAATCCGATGGGCTTGTAACTTAGAAAACGGGCCGCATGTGTGCACTTTCTGCTGTTAGCAAAGACATCATACGTGAAGAAAGCAAAAGGTCATTAAAAAGACAGGAAAGAAAGAAAAGACCAAAATGAATGTCAGAAGAGACTCTGAAACTTGCTCTTGAACATAGAGTAGCTAAAGCAAACAGAAAGAATGATCATGTAAAACAGCTGAACAGAAGATTTCAAAGGCCAGCTCGAGAAGACAGAGTAAAGTATTATAATGCAATGTGCAAAGACCTGGAGTTAGATAACCAAAAGGGAAGAACACGTTTGGCATTTCTCAAACTGAAAGAACTGATGAAAAAATTCAAGCCTTGAGTTGCAGTATTTAAAAGATTCTGTGGGCAAAATATTGAATGATGCAAGACGCATCAAAAGAAGATGGAAGGAATACACGGAGCCTCTGTACCAAAGGAGGTAGCATATGATGAAGAACTGATGGTATGGGAGGAAGAAGTCCAAGCTGCACTGAAGGTATTAGTGAAAAACAAGGCTACAAGAATTGACGGAATATTGGTTGAGATGTTTCAAAAACGGATGCAGTGCTGGAGGCACTTATTTGTCTATCCAAAAGTTTGGAAGACAGCCACCTGGCCAGCCAACTGGAAGAGATCCATATTTGTGCCCATTCCAATAAAAGGTGATCCAACAGAAGGCAGAAATTATCAAACAATATCATCAATATCACATGCAAGTAAAGTTTTGTTGAAGATAATTAAAAGATGATTGCAGCAGTGCATCGACAGGGAACTGCCAGAAATTCAAGCAGGATTCAGAATAGGACGTGGAATGATGGGTATCATTGCTGATGTCACATGGATCTTGGCTGAAAGCAGAGAATACCAAAAGATGTTTACGTGTGTTTTATTGACTGTGCAAAGGCATTCAATTGTGTGGATCATAACAAATTATGGATAACATTGTGAAGAATGGGAATTCCAGAACACTTAATTGAGGAGCCTGTACTGCCAAGAAGCAGTCATTTGAACAGAACAAGGGGATACTGCATGGTTTAAAATCAGAAAAAGTGTGCATCAGGGTTGTGTCCTTTCACCTTACTTATTGAATCTGTATGCTGAGCAGATAATCTGAGAAGCAGGACTGTATGAAGAATGTGGCATCAGGATTGGAGGAAGACTCATCAACAACCTGTGACATGCAGATGACACAACCCTGCTTGCTGAAAGTGAAGAGGACTTGAAGCACTTACATGAAGAAGATCAAAGACTACAGACTTCAGTATGAATTACACTTCAACATAAAGAAAACAAAAGTCCTCACAACTGGACCAGTAAGCAACATCATGATAAACAGAGAAAATATTGAAGTTGTCAAGGATTTCATTTTACCTGGATCCACATTCAGCGCCTATAGAAGCCAGCAGTTAAGAAATCGAGTGGGTAAATTTGCTGCAAAAGACGTCTTTAAAGTGTTAAAAAGCAAAGATGTCACTCTGAGGACTAAGGTGCACCTGACCTAAGCCATGGTACTTTCAGTTGCCTCATATACATGCGAAAGCTGGACAATGAATAAGGAAGACCAAAGAATTGATGCCTTTGAATTATGGTGTTGGCAAAGAAAGTTGAATATACCATGGACTGCCAGAAGAATGAACAAATCCGTCTTGGAAGAAGTATAGCCAGAATGCTCCTTAGAAGCGAGGCTGGAGAGACTTTGTCTCAAGTACTTTGGACGTGTTATCAGAAGGGACCAGTCCCTGGAGAAGGACATCATGCTTGGTAAAGTAGAGGGTCAGTGAAAAACAGGAAGATCCTCAACGAGATGGATTGACACAGTGGCTGCAACAGTGGACTCAAACATAGCAAGGATTGTGAGGATGGTGCAGGACTGGGCAGTTTTCATTCTGCTGTACATAGGGTCACTGTGAGAACCAACTCAGCGGCACCTGTCTTAGTCATCTAGTGCTGCTATAACAGAAATACCACAAGTGGATGGTTTCAACAAGCAGAAGTTTATTCTCTCACAGTCTGGTAGGCTAGAAGTCTGATTTCAGGGCATCAGCTCCAGGGGAAGGCTTCCTCTGTTGGCTCTGGAGGGAGAACCTTGTCATCAATCTTCCCCTGGTCTAGGAGCTTCTCCGCACAGGAACCCTGGGTCCAAAGGACATGCTGTGCTCCCTGCTCTGCTTTCTTGGTCGTATGAAGTCCCCATGTCTCTCTGCTCGCTTCTCTCTTTTATATCTTAGAAGGAATTGGCTCAAGACAATCTAATCTTGTAGGCTGAGTCCTGCTTCATTAACATAACTGCTGCTAATCTCATCAACATCATAGAGATAGGATTTATAACACGTAGGAAAATCACAGCAGATGACAAGTTGGTGGACAATCACACAATGCTGGGAATCATGGCCCAGCCATTTGACAGATATTTTTGGGGGTCACGATTCAATCCGTGACAGCACCTAACAACACAACACCACCACCCACCCAAAGTTTTTATCCTTTTTGCTCCTCCAGGCTTTGTGGCATTTAACACTGATCCATCGTGTGTCTCCTGCTTGCATCACTGATGAGTGGACCCCTCTTGCCCTGGAAGCCTGGCAAAAGAGAAGGCTGTGTCCCCTAATTCTGTTCCATTTCACCCTTTAAGAAACCCTGAAGCTGTTACAGCGCCTGCTGAAGTCACCAGGATGCCGGAAGATCCCCGTGCTGGTGCAGAGCAAGGACGATGTGATTGTCATGGCCTCAAACTTCAGTTCAGAGAGGTGAGAGGGTGGGCACATGGTGCTGGGTGGGCACCCTTTCTGTCTGTAGTAGTGAGTGATAGGACGGGTAACTGGCAGTTTGGGCAGTAGGTCTCATGGAAACATCAGATCAGACCACCTCCCAGTGAATAGTCAAGGATTGGATGAAATGGAAGGTTCTGGCCTCAGCACAAAATATCCCAGGCTGACAGTGTTGCCCGGGAGCTGTATCAGGTGACTCAGACTCTGAAGTGCTGGACTCCCCGGGGTTGGAATCATAGCTGAGAGCTGCGGTGTCCTTATCTGTGAAATGGCAATAGTATTACCTTTCCGTTAGGGCTCTTGGGAGTCCTAGAAATGATGTATATAAAGCACTTAGCACTGTGCCTGGCTGGTGTATAATGGACTCACAGCCATTTTTATAACTATTCATGGTTTTTTTAATACTATTGTTGCTCAAAAGCTATTTAATGGCATATCAATTTTGGCACTGACTCATTAATGTATTCTTTCATTCTGTAAATATTTATTGGCTGTTTGTTTTGTGCCAGGCTCTTCATCTAGGCATTGAGGATTCTGAGTTGACTTGGCCACAATCCTTGAAGTGTTCATTTCCTTGGTCAAAGACACTTTCTTGGTAATAGTGAACTTGGGTGACTCAGCTCCTTCCCCCAAACTCTTGTTTAGGAGCCATGCGTTCAGTGCCATCAGCTGCCTGAGATGGCCAGTAGTGCGGGGACCCGGAGCAGCCTCTGGCTCTGCCCTGATGCTGTATTCAGGACCACCAGCCAGCCAGCAGAGGGGGTGCTAGTCAGCCTCGTTTCTGTTCATTCATTTTATTGAGTGCCTGTTCTGTTCAGGGGGAGCCCAGGGGCTGCAGTGGTTAAGCGCTCAGCTGCTACCTGAAAGGTCAGCAGTTCAAACCCACCAGCCGCTTTTCGGGAGAAAGATGTGGCAGTCTGCTTCCGTAAAGGTTACCCTTGGAAACCCTACGGGGCAGTTCTACTCTGTCCTGTAGGGTCACTATGAGTCGGAACTGACTTGATGGCAATGGGTACAGGTTCTGTGCAGGCACTATTCTAGGATTGGATAATTATATAATTCCTGGCCTTAATTGTTTAATACTGAATAGTGGATACAGAGGCCTTTCAGATAACTCTGATGGGAGATCAGATGCAGTCACATGCAACAGAGACACAGAAAACTCTGAGAACTCTAGAGGCATTGAGAGTCCCCATCCAGGAGTGGCTTCATGGAAGAAGTGGCACATGAGGTAGGCTTTGAAGGATAAGGATTGGGTAGTTGGATAAGAGGGAAGGAATTCAGGCAGAAGGGTCAGAATGAAGAAGAAAGTACCAGGCTTTATAGGAGAAGGGAAAGCTCTCTGGTCTGGTTGGAGTATAGGAATTTGAGAGAAATAAATCTGAAGAGATGGCTACGAGCCCAGATGTGAAGGGGCATGAATTCTGCAAAAGAATCTGGACTGTCTCCTCTGCAGTGGAAAGGCGGTTGAGGGTTTCAGGCAAGCGTGTGCTTTAGGAAGAAGAGGCAGTCACGAGGTCCCAAAATAGGGCAGGGGTCGGGGGACAGAGCAGAGGGGACAGATTTCAGAGACAAAGCTGAGTAAGAGAAGAAGGCCTCGGAGGAATAGAGAGGGATGGGACCATTCATAGCAGCAGCTGCTCCCGGAGCCCTCTTGCTCCCGCCTGTGTCAGGGCAGGAGCTGGCTGCCCGAGCTCATCTGTCTCTCTCTCCCTTTCTCTTCACCCTCTGCTTAGGATGTGCCCGATCTTCCAGATCTCCAATGTTACAGGCGAGAACCTTGATCTGCTGAAGATGTTCCTCAACCTCCTGTCCCCTCGCACCAGCTACAGGGAGGAAGAGCCCGCTGAATTTCAGATTGATGACACCTACTCTGTCCCGGTGAGCGCTGCTTCTGGCCTGAGCAGGGTAGGATCTGGGTGGGTACTTTCGACAGGCATTGGGGGGCAAGGCTTTGGTGGGGGGCCGAGTGGGATGGACTTACTGGGCCAGGGTCTTCTCCTCTGCAGGGTGTGGGGACAGTAGTGTCGGGGACAACACTGAGGGGCCTGATCAAGCTGAATGACACGCTCCTGCTGGGCCCTGACCCGCTGGGGAACTTCCTGTCCATTGCTGTCAAATCGATCCATCGCAAGCGCATGCCTGTCAAGGAGGTGCGGGGTGGCCAGACGGCCTCCTTCGCGCTGAAGAAGGTGAATATGGATGCTACCTGACTCCCTCGGCTCTGAGAGGCTAGGCTTGGGAGCCAAGTGCTTTACTCACCATGTCCAGTCCTCTCCGCTGCCCTGCCAGTTAGGGATGCCTGACCTCACTTTCAAAGATAAAGAAACTGTGGCTCAGAGAACCCAAGTGACTTGCCCAGGAGCACACAGTAAGTGCTAGAGCAGGACTTGAACCCAGGACTGCCCGACCCCTAAGCTCTCTTCCTCCCTCTGGTGCCTAGGAGCAGGGTGCCCTAGCACAGTGCTGAGGTCAGATAGGGTTGTTGGATTCCTGTCAAATCCTCTTCCCATTCAGCCTTCCATCCTCTGGGTTTTGGGGTGAGTCACCTACCTTTCCCTCCAACCAAATTAACCAGGAAAAATGGGCCTTTTATTCCCTCCACCAGTCATAGCGTGCTCACCCTGTCTCCCCACCTGAATGCTTGTCTTCCTCTGCCCCCTCACCATCCAGTCACTTCTCCCCTATTCTTCAAGGCCCAGCTAAGCGCCATTTCTTGAATGAAGCCTTCCTGACCTCCACTAGCAGGGTTTAGGCTTCCCATGTAGCACTGAAGTGTGCCTTGCACTGTCCACCTAGAAGGCTTGTGTTCCAGTGGTGAGGGGGCAAGGCTCATCTGGGGTGGTTTCTATTCCAGAAAGACTCTGGTCCTCCAGGACACCAGGGTAAAACGAGAAGGCATTGTGGTCCCTGAGGTCTGGGCTTCCCTTTCCTTTCAGATCAAGCGCTCGTCCATACGGAAAGGCATGGTGATGGTTTCCCCACGTTTGAATCCCCAAGCATCCTGGGAGTTTGAGGCAGAGATTCTCGTCCTCCACCACCCCACCACCATTAGCCCGCGCTACCAGGCCATGGGTAGGTGTCTGAGGGCCCTGCCAGTCCAGGAGGGCCCCACTCAAACTCCCCCCACGAGGTGCTCCAGCAACCTGAGCTCCAGAGTGTCAGCTCCAACCAAGAGGCAGGTGTCCATTCTGGTCAGGGATGCGGCCCCCTGGCCTGCCCGTGAGTCGAGTGTTTATTTAGTCCTGCAAACACTGACCGAGTTCTGCTCTGTGCTGGGCTCTGGAGACGCAGACCTGCCTCAGGGAGCTCACATGCAGTCCTTCTGTGAGCATCTACAGACACACTGTGTGCCAAGCAGTATTGCCAAGGTGCTGGGTACAATGATGAGCTGGGCAAGAAAGAGCCTTCCCTCAGGGAGCTCCCAGCCCAGTGAGGAGGCTCTCGGGCACACAATGTGCCCTGGGCTCCAGGAGCTAGGGCCAGTGTCCATGCAGGGTCCAGGGGCAGGGGGGGAAGGTCTAACTGCAGAGAAAGGTGGGCAAGTCTGGGCAGGCTGAGACGTGGAGCACAGCACACTCAGCCACCCTTGGCCTCCCTGAAGTCTTTCGGCCCGGAGGTGTGCCCAGCCCTGTGCAGCTCAGGCATATTGCATGCTTTCACTCACTGCCTTCCCCCGCCCGGAGGCCGCTCCAGCCTATCCTGACCTCATGGCTCCTTGACAGTGCACTGTGGGAGCATTAGGCAGACAGCCACCATTCTGAGTATGGACAAGGACTGTCTGCGCACTGGGGACAAGGCCACCGTGCACTTCCGCTTCATCAAGACCCCTGAGTACCTGCACATAGACCAGCGACTGGTGTTCCGGGAAGGCCGCACCAAGGCTGTGGGCACCATCACCAAGGTAGGCCTGGCAGACCTCCTCCGGGGCTACTTCGGCTCTGGAGACCGAGCAGGCTCTCCTTGAGAAGCCCTGAGACTCCCCCTAACCTCCTGGAGGAGAGGCCTGTAACTGCTGTGGAAGTGCTGGACAGTGCTGAGGTGTGGCCTCAGGGCCATCTTCTCTGCTTCCCCTGACAGTGGTCCCTGGGCCTGCCGTCTTCCTGGGTTGGGGTGGTGACCATGGAGGAGAGAGGGTGGAGAGGAGGCAGGGCATTCCTCGGTAGAACAGTGGTGGCAGAGTCTCCGGGCCTAGCCAGGGTCAGTGTCTGGCATGCCAGGCACAGGTTCCTTAGGCCTGGCTGGGGCTGGGCCAGCGCCTGAGATCTCAGAGCAGCGGGCTCGACTGGAGTGAGTGCTGGACAGTAGGAAGGGCACAGACTTGAGTTCCCTTGGGCCCTGGAGCCTACCTCTCGCTCTCTGCAAGCCCCACCCACAGCTTTGTGTAGGGGCATTTGATGGAGCGGTTGATCCCTGTACCATACAGAGGGAAGAAGGGGCCCCAGCCTCCAAGAACTTGGAATCAGCTTCAGGCTTGCCTTTGCTTCCAGAATATTCCTCCTCAGACCCATCCAGAGTCGTGGTGACCCTGGGGCTTCACTGTGTGTGTGGTGGGGAGGGGGTCATCTCCTCGAAGGCCTCCTTGCCTCTGGGACTGGCTGCCGGCACACTGTGGTGCCCTCAGGGACTCAGCTGGGCCTCCTCCTGCTTGTTTGAGACTGACATTACGCCACAAGGAGAGAGTCTGAGTCAGTTGCTCTGCGTAGTAACTTTAAGATTTCTGATAGCTAAACTCCAAATGCTTCCAGCTGATGAGGCTTCACTTGGCCTCTTGGGGAAGCCTGTCCTTAAACCTGCCGCAGACTCGTTACAGGGCAGAGGGATCCTGGGCTGAAGACTCCGGTAGTGCCCTGAAGAGTGTCAGCCAGCTTAGCAGGGAAGAGTGCCTCAAGTGAAGCCAGGCTCTGGCAGGCTGGACCCCGGGCAGGAGCTGGAGTGAGCGGGAGGTGGCAGAGAGGCTCACAGATTCTCTGCAGGATGAGCCTTTCTGGCCAGGGCACGGAGGGACGGGGCTGGCCCGGGCTGAGCAGAAGCTGGAGGGGAGGCCTTGGCAGTCCCGGGACATCGAGTAGGAATGAAAGTAGCTTTCCACGGGAAGATCCCACTGCCGTAGTCTTCCTGCCACCCACCTTGCCCAGGACCAGCCAGGTCAGGAATGGGAAGGGGGCTGGGGAAGTGGCTACCGGGGAGCAGGCAGCTGAGCAGATGGCACTGCCCCACAGCTTGGGCCTCACCCTCACCCCCTTGGTTCTTACAGCTCCTCCAGACCACCAACAACTCCCCGATGAACTCCAAGCCCCAGCAGATTAAGATGCAGTCGACGAAAAAGGGCCCTCTGACCAAACGAGAAGAGGGGGGCCCCTCTGGCGGGCCTGCAGTAGGTGCACCCCAACCTGGAGATGCGGCTGCCTCCATAGGGGCTGTGCAGCCTTCTGCAGCCAGCAGTCTTCAGCCACAGGTGAGCATGAGTCCTGGGTCCCGGCCTGGGCCCCTGCCACCTGGGGCAGGGATGAGGGTATGTGCAGCTGTGACTCTGATTCTGCTAAGGGGACACACAGGAGAGCCGAGGGCAGCCGCATGTCTGAGTTAATATCTAGAAGGTGCGTACAGCTCCTGGTACCTAAGTGCTCTACAGGCGGGAGCTCCTTGCCTCTTAACGCAGTGCTTTTCAGACTCGATGTGGCCTACATAGAGTCAGTCTACTTGGTTCTGACTAGCATTTGGTTTTAATGAAATAAAATAGGATAGAAAAATGGCGGAGTTTCCCCCTCTCATTTTAAGTATTGCTTGTGAGTGTGAGGGATGCTGCCATCCAAAAGGTTTGAAAGACACTGTCTCAGAGGGTCCTCTTGTGCCCCCTGCCCTGACAGGCACACCTCTCGGAGGGCAGGCACACCTCCTGGAGGACAGGTGCCTTGACCATGTCTGTGTGGCGCTCATGAGTCCTCTCCTGGCCTGATGAAGGCCTGGCCCCCCCTTGCATCCGTCTTCCCAGCATCTCTCTCTTCTCCTTTGGAGAGGGAAGCTTCTGTCTGAATCTGTCGTTTCTGCTCTCTCTCTCTCCTGTTCATCCCTTTCTCTTTCCACTGATCAGCAGTGTGAATGGTGATTCCTCACCTCCCTGTGCTCTGAACGGCCCCATCAACGATACCACATAGGACCCACCTCCCTGTGAGCAGAGTGGTGTGCTCAGGATCACAGGAAATTCCTGGTCAGGCATGCCAGGACCTCACTGCCTGCTCGCTCATCTCCTGCCCCCACCCTGCGACCCCCGGCTCCAGAGGGCTAGTGTGTCTCAAGCTCCTTTTTCTCTCTTCCAGCCCAAGCCCAGCAGCGGGGGCCGGCGACGGGGAGGCCAGCGACACAAGGTGAAGTCCCAGGGAGCCTGTGGGACTCCTGCCAGCGGCTGCTGAATCTTCCCCTGGCCCACCCCCTCCACCTGAGGATCCTCACACTGGCCACTGCCCCACGAGATGGCCAGAGCAGCTCTGACCACAGCCCGCCTTCCCCTCAGGCCAAAGCCGGAGCCACCCTTGTCACCCCCACCCCCGTTTTCCAGGGGGGTTGTAATTTATACCTGCTGAGGCAGGTGGCCAGACTTCCCGAGGACTGACCATCTCCCACCCCCTTTCCACCTTCCTCCTCACCCACACGTTTTTTGTACATCTGGGCCCTTAGTTTTTATTCTTTTTATTATATATCTATATCTATATTTAGTGTGTATGTTCGTGTGTGAGGTGCAGGATACGGCTGGTCAGGGCCCTGTCATTCTCTCCTTTTCTCCCTCCATGGCTGGCCACCAGCCTCCAGAAGCTGTCCACCCGCCTGTCTGTTAGTCCGTCCATCTGTCTTGTGAGAAAATCCTCAGGGCCTTTAGGGGATGTCAGGGAGCTGAAGGAGCACCCCACTTTCCCTGACCCCCTCCTCCTCTGCACTCGGGCCCTTCCATGGAGCCAGGGCTCTGAGTGACGGGCTTCTGGGTTGTGTCTGCTGCTGTCCGAGCAAGGAGCCCCTGATCTAGGACTTGGTGGAGAGTGGTGGCTTCCCATTCTCACTCCTCCTCTGCTCCCAAGTAACCTTGTTCCCTTAAGCCCAACAATGAGTAATGCTAAAAGCTGTTAAGTTGTCACCTGTAGATGTATGGCGGGGAGTGGAGATTGGATTGTAGGACCCTCCCCGCCCCCCGACTCTGACTCTTGCCACTGACCCAAAGACAGCGGGTGTTTTCCCCTTGAGACAATCCTGTATTTGCCTGGCCTGCCCAGGTCCTCCTGTGCCCTGCTGTGGCCCTTCTGGGCCCTGCCAGTCCTGCCAAGCCTGGAGCCACTTGCCTTGCCCAGAGCTGCCTCCTGCTTGGACTTTGGCTCTGAACTGTGTTGGGCCTTGGGGCACTGATAACCCAAGTAAGGTCTGGCCTGTTTGGGATCATGTTTTCTAGCACCTCTAGTGGGTGAGGGTGGAGGTGTTCCCCTGGGCCAGGCCGAAACAGGGACCCCTCCTTGCCCATCACACCCTGCCACGTCCCAACATGGCTGCTACAGGAGCTGACTTTCTGGTTTCCTGCACAACAAGGAAGGGCCTGTGCCAGGTTTGGAAGCCCTGATTTGGCTGGGAGGGAGAGGAATGGGGAGGGGTGGGGTGGTGGTGAAAAAGACTTCAGGCCTAGCACAGAGCAGTAAGCCCCCTGCTAGAATCATTGCCTGGGTCGGGGTTGGGGTTGCCCAGCCCAGAAATGGTGGCATAGGCCTGGACTGAAGCCCCAGTTAGGGTGGGTGGCCTGAGAGGCCGAGATTTGTTCGTTCTCTAGCCGGGGCAGACACCCAGCTGGCTGGGTCCTTCCTGAGCCTTGCCTCCTTCCTGTCCCCCAACCCTTTTTTTCTGCCCCCCGCCCTGGCTTCGGGACTGCTGGTTCCCTTTCCTCCCCTCCCCCTATTTCTAGTTACCACTGACCTGTGGCCGTGAGCTGACCAGACCAGCATACAAAATAAAAGTTGGTTCCAAGTTGCCAGTGTCATGGTACCTGCCCAGCCCCTCCAGGCAGGTGCTGCCTGTGGGGTGCGCTGTGGCTCTGCTGCCCCTGAGCACCCAGCGAGCACCCAGCAAGTGGCTGGAGTAGGGCTGGGCAGGCTGGGCCCAGGTTCTCCTGTTAGGGAGGCATGGCTCCGAAATCCAGGTTCCTCCACTTGCTGTGTGATACAGGCAATTTACCAACCTTCTCTGAACAGCAGTTTCCTCATCTACAACTGGAGGCAAATTGCTACCTCAGGGTGGCAGTAAGGATTCCATGAAGGAATCTGTGAAGCCCCTGACACGGTGCCCTGGCCCATGGGAGGTCCTCAGTAAATGGCCACCACACTACCATTCATGCCAGCATCTTGTCCTAGGCTGGACGAGGGGTCCCAAATCCATAGCAGAGGCCAAGAGCTGGGGGTCAGGTGCGAAAGGAGAAATAGTGGCATTGATATGTTTGTGCTGTGTGGCTGGTGCTTCACCAGGTGGCTTCACATACTTCGTATTCTTTGATATTCACTACTGCCATCTATGAGGTAGGTGCTGTTAGTTCCGTTTTTCTAGTTCAGGAAACTGAAGCTCAGAGAGGAGTGTACCCCAGCAAGTGGCAATTCCTGCACCAGCCCTGCCCCCTCAGCTTTTCAGTCAGCAGCCTGGCCTTGTCCTTTCACCCTGCCTGTTTGTCTGCTGGCTCTTTACCTCTTGCTTTTTCGCTCTGGCTCTGCTTATGGGGGCTGCTGCTGGCCCAGCCCACTGGATGCCTTCAAAACAGGCCTCCAGTGTTCAGTACACTCTGATCTGCCCCCGTAGCAGGTGCTGTGGAATTTGTGCCTCCACAAGCCGTAGTCCTGGTTCTGGGAGCAGATGGAAGCTTTTGTTTGAACTTTTTTGGCCATAACCACTTTCTTCACATTCAGAAACTGTGGCCACCATGCTGGCCTCCGCCGTCAGACACTCAGGAGGGCTGGGCTGGGTCTCTGTGCTCACCAGGCGCACACCTGCTAGCATGCAGCTGAGTAAAGTGTTTCACTGTCATTAACGGGGATGATAAAGATCCCCTCCACGTCCAATCCCTACCAACTGTCCATTTGGAACAAGACACCAGCCCTTTTGTAGTTGATGAAGAATAAAGTTGTTAATCTGATCATCTCTACTGGCAAATCCTGGCCCTTCTGTACCTGCAGCAAATGTGTGTGGAGGTGTTACCAGGAGTAAGGCCCTTTGCTGGTGGAATGGGACAGAGATGGCCCAGATCCGGGCTGGCCCTGGTAATGGAACAAGTTCCTAGTCAGGACCACTGTTCTGCTTACTGGTCACCTTGGCGCAGCATGAACAAAGGCAACGGGAATATAAGGGGGGTGCGAGGGGAAGCGGAAGTTTGACCGGGGTTGTGAGTGGTGTGGGGGCTGTGCCATGAGTGGCATCTAGGGTTTGCACATGCACAGGACAGCACATGCCAGGCCCAGGAGGGGCATGAGCAACGGCACTGGGCTCGGGCCGTGTGTGGCAAGTTCCAGGAAGCCGTTTCCTGGTGCTGTTTGGGGTGTCTCCTTTGATGAGATCTGGGGCTGGCTGCAGAGGTGTTGGATGAACTGGGGAGGGAAGTGAACAGGAGCCGGAAGAGGGAGGATGGTTTCCCACACGCTGAGCTGAGAGGTCAGTTTGCCTTGGCCCGAGGCTGGGTCTGCACTCTGCCCAGCACCCTCTCTTGTGGCAGTCTGTCCCCTACATGACCGGCTTCCTGCCCTGGGCCAGGTGCCATGGTCAGGACAAGAGGTGCAAGAGACCTAGTGGGGAGCTGCCCTGAGCCCTAGAGCAGTCCTTGGAGTCAGTCTGGGAGATGTTTGCAGGGAAGGATCAGGTCCCGTGTCCCCTGAGCTGGCAGATTCTGGCTCTTCAGGGGACCCACAGAGGCATTACAGTGTGACACCTCCTTGGCCCATCCCAGGGACATGGGGCAAATATACAGTTCTTGTGGAAGAGGGTCTCTCTGCACTCAAGGTGGAAGTGGTCAGTCAGCAGTTAAGAGTGTAACTTTTTCTACTTCCTGCTCAAACAGCACTGAAAAAAGCAGGAAATTTCTCCTGCTTCATAGGGGGCTATCAGTGACAGCTCCTGAACACCTCACTTCCTTCTTCTGCCAACCCTTAGCCCAGCAGACTGGAGTCGGTCTTGCCTCAGGCCCCCCACCCCCGACTCCTACATCCAGGTTTTAGCCCAGAGGTGAAAACGGAGGCTGAGCTAAAATATAGGAGTAAGTCTTCGGGAGCATTCAGAATTCATTCTCCCATTTTCCCAAGAGCAGTTTCATAAATAGCCACCATGCTCCATTAAATCCTGGGCATAATTTATTCTTTTGCATAGGCATAAGTTAGAATCTGGAGATACAAAATTAAGAACCAATAGTGCAGCATTTGTGACAGGAGAGCGCAAAACAAAACCTGGTTGACTCAGCCAGGGCTGTGCAGGAGCGCCACAGGACGCGGCCTCGCCGCCACTTCATCCCAGCCCCATCCTCTGGGAGCCTGCTTGGGCCCAGCTCTGGCACAGCAGCCCCTCCCCAACCTTCCCAACAGACCAGAACTAGTGGATACAGCTGGAGCCGTTGCCCCAGGCCCTTCTGGCAACCAGGTCAGGAGGAACTTAATTATCACCCAGAGCCCCACAGAACGGGGCTAGGAATCAAGCCCTTAGCTTTTCTTTCCGTTAAAAAACAGACCTTGAAAAATATGTACATAATACAGTGGGGCCTGCTGGGTCTAAAAGTCCCTCCTCACCCCCTCCCAACCCCATGTAACTGCCAGCTCCCCCCTAACCCCACCTTGACCCCCCCCCCCGCCCCGTGGAAAATGAGCCAGAAAAGGAAACAAAATCCCAGCAAAAGCTGAAAGAGCCCAAAGGGCAGCCTGAGGGTTAGGGCCCCTTTACAGCAGGTGCCTGAGTAGCTTTGTTGGGGGCAGGGCCCACCATGACACCCTGAACGTCATCATCGTCACTGGACCCCTCAAGGGCCCAGGGAGTTCCCTGCTCCCCACCCTCCCAGCTGCCCCCAGATGCTTATTGTGTGCCAGTGAGTCAATTCCAACTCATAGCGGCCCTGTAGGGCAGAGTAGAACTGCCCCATAGGGTTTCCCAGGCTGTAATCTTTACGGAAACACATCTCCAGGTCTTTTCCCTCACTGAGCAGCTGGTGGGTTCGAACCACTGAACTTACGGTTATTAGCCAAGCACTTAACCATTGTGCCACCAGGGCTCCTTGTCCCCAGATGTTAGTGGTCCCAAATAGCTGGTCAGGTTCCTGACCCTGGGGAATGTGGTGAGCTCACTCTGGGGCACTGGCAGGCCCTAGCAGGAATGGGGAGCACAGTAGGCCTGCCTCGGCAGCAGGGAAGAAAAAGCAACGATTCTCCTCGCAGAGAGGAGTCCTTGTAGGCCTGCCCTGGCTGCTAGGGCCACACACGGCAGCTGCCCGGACAAGGCACACAGAACCCAGTGCCCTCTACGGTATGAGAAGCCCCCGGGTCCACCTACACCCAGGACAAATACAGTGTGCAGATGACCCTCAGGGAACCCGGGGCAAGCTTCCTAGACTGCGGCAGTAGCCATGCTGGAAGAGCCCAGCAACCCTACGCCAGTGCTTCGTGTCTGGGCCTCAGTCCGCGCTGCACTGAGCCCTCTCCCCACACGTGAGCAGCTCTGCTCACCTGCTCACCTGCCCAGGCCCTGCTAGTCCTGCCTGCAGCTTTGGCACGTGCTTCATTCCCATGCCTCCGACAGTAGCTCCTGGGCAGCAGCCCCACCACCAAGGCCCAAGGCCAGGAGGCTTCTCCTGGCCTCTGCTGAAGCATGTTCATTCATTCCCCTTCCCTGTGATATGGTACATATATACACCCTCCCAGGAGGGGGACATCAACCTGGCCGACATGAGGACAGCCAAGAATCAAACGAGACCACTGGGCCACTGTCCACCCCAAGCTGCCCACTGCTTGGGACAGTGTATCCTCTTGTGTCCACTGGGGCCAGGGCTCTTCCTTCTTGCTCCTGGAATTTGGCGCTAATCAAGCGTGCGGGGAAGTGGCGGGGTACTGCTCGCCCACCCCAGAGAAGGCAGGCACGGCGTGCTGAGAGGGGCGGCCAGGGCCCACAGGCTGGCCTCCTGGTGGCTGGCGGCAAGCACAAGCAAGAAAACCTAGTGGGCAGGCTCCCCATGTACTCTGAAGCGGTAGATGCAGGTGTACTCAGGGTGGCCCCAGTTGGTCAGGATCCGCAGCTCCACCACCTGGTACGTGGCCATGGTAGGGCCCTGGGTAGAGAAGGGAGGCATCAGGAGCCTCGCAGATTCCTTGGCGCCCTCACTGACAGAGAAGGTGGGAGGTGGTGGCACCCACCCCAGGGCCCAGAGGGCAGCCCTCCTACCCCCTCTCCTGCTTCCTTGGGCCTCTGAGGAGAACCAGGCTTCAAATGCTGCTGCCTATGGGCCAAGGAGCCCCAGGGCTTCAGCATCCCTATAGGGCCCAACCTGTGAGCCTGTGCCAGGCCTGGCCCACAGGCGACATAAAAACGGTCTTGTACTGAGGACCACGTAATCAGGAACAATAAAATACAAATTCATCCAAAATTGTGATCAATTCAGTCGCTATTTTTGTCATATTATCAATCGGTAGAATTATCTTCCTGGAGGGCTTGACACTGGCTGATGTTACAAAAGAATCTCCTTAACTTGGCAGGATTTCTTCCTTTCCTTCTCAAGTCCCCATCCAGGCTTCTAGGCTCTGGCCTCTCTGTCCACAGTGTTGCTGGCTGAGGCCTGGTGCTCTCCCGGCCATCCTCTCTCCTCCCTGGCCTTTCTACACAGCCTCCTGTCCCCTCCCTACTCCTAAAGCCTAGGGGTTCCTGGCTTAGTCTACGAATCACCCTGAGAAGCTCCAGCTGCTCCCCACACTCCAGCGACCATCTCTGTGCTGATGACAGCTTAGCCTTCCCATCTAAGTCCACCCCATGGTTCCCTGGACCCTCTCACTGGCGCCTTCCTCTGTGGCCAGACTGATGTTCTGCATTCTCCTCTGCACTGCCTCAGTGGCCCCAGCAGCTGCCTGGAGCTGATTCATCTCCACCCGCCCCTTCCCTACTCCCACCTGGTTAAGGCGCAGGACCCTCCAAATGTGCCTCTAACCTGCCTTCTCTCCATCCCTCTCCCCACACCCTCACAGGAACCTCCTCCATCTGCACTTGCCTCCCTGTCTCTAGGCATGGCCTCTTCAATTCACCGCTGACACGTGGTCACAGTGGTCTTTCCAAAATGCCATCATATTGCCACTTCTCTACCTAAAACATGCAACCCACCCCACCAGCCTTCAGGGCTGAATTTTGGCCAGACCCGCCTCTCCACAACCTGTCTTCCTGCCTTCTCAACCTCACAGTGCCCCCACCCATCAACCCGATTCCTCCCACCAGGGATTCTTCTAGGGTGGTCCTCAGGCCACCTGCATCTGATACAACTTTTTATTTCTTAAAATGCAGAATCCTGGGCCCAACAGCCCTAGGAATCAATCTCCGGGGGTGGAGACTGGGAATCTGCATTTTGAACAAGGGCCTGATGCCCACTGGTGCTTCAGACAGATGGCCTCCCCTGGGGCCCAGCCACAGCACTGCCTGCAGGCCCCAGCCTAACCTCAATTGCCATGTGCTGAACGGAGGAGAAAGTGGATGTGCCCCCTCTGCTGGCAGGGCAGGGTTCTGTACCTGAAAATAGAACGTCTGGATGGGCTCTCCGTCCTGATCGTAGGTGAACTTCCCAAGAAGCGTCCCCTCTTGCTGCAGGTCTTCGTCAAATCCCTGCAAGAGAGAGCAAAGGGATAGCTGGCAGAAGGGTGGTGGGAGGGACAGCACACGCCCTTAGACATGGCCCAGCCACCTGGGAAGGGAGGGACACTGGGATGGAGCAGGGAGAGGACCCCGCGTTTGCAATGAGATGCTCTTCCCTCCCTCCTAAACTCCCACACCCACCCCTCACACCTCAGTGGGTCAGGCCCAGCCTCCACTGGACGAAGGGGGGCCTGAGCCCTGGACACGGACAAGGGTGTCCAGCCTGGAAGCAGGGCTGCTGTGTGGCCTGTGACAAGTCACTTAACCCTCTTGTGCCTCAGTTTCCTCCTCAGGAGCCTGAGACAGCTGGGACTGAAGCGCCCCCTTCCCACTGTTTTCTGGCTCCATCTCCTCCAGAATCTGCTCCCCTGTCCCCTCCCCTAGTCCCGTTATTCTAAGCAGAGAGGCCCCCCGCATCCTCCTACAGCTCCTCCAGCCCCCACATGGTTGGGTACTCACAAAGATGGCAAAGTCCTTGGGGGCACTGGAGATGGTGCTGTTGGGTGACAAGGATTTGGGCACATGCTCCAAGGTAACAGCAGTGGGATGGATGCGGGCAGAAAGGCGGACCACAGCAAAGCCCTGGGGGCCCTGGAAGGCCCAGCAGTTGCCTGGGTGCACATCTGGCTGGAGTGGAGGAGGGTCGTGTTGGGGGGGTGCCACAGCTAGAAGCTCACCCACGTCCAGGACAACTGCTGAGCAGTGCGTGGCCCCGCCCAGCCATGAGGTTGCAAGGGGAGAATGACTCTGTATTAGTGTAGTTTGGGGCCTACCTGGAGAATGACCCGGGGTGACTGGGAGTGGTACCACAGGGGGATGCCGAAGAGGCTGAGGAGGGCTGTCTTGGTCTCATAGGTCTCGGAGCAGCGCGTGCTGATAACACTGGCCCCTAAAACAGGAAAGGCAGGCAGGGTGGGCACCAGCGGGGCAGGAAGACCAGACAGCCAGCTCAGCTCGCCAGCCAAGGGAGGCCTGGCATGGAGGGGTGCAGCAGCCGGAGGAGGGACCCTTGCCCTTCTCTCCGCAGATGAGGTCAGACGCCCCAGCCCCCTCTTCAGGCCTATCCTGGCCCCAGAGAGCAGCTGGCAAATGTCAGCACTTCCTAGCTGAGAACGGTGTTCTGAGCATCACAACCTCCCTGACCTGCATGGCCTGGTGGCCGGTTCTAGGCTGGTTGATTTCCTCTGACCTCCAGCCTTGCTTGCCCAGCATTTCTGCAGCCCTGACTCATGCCAGGAGCTAATGGGACCAGGGACTGGGGGCCAGGCGGAGGGAAAGTGGCCCACCTCCTGATTCCAGGGCATAGTCCACCATCCCAATGCGGTCCTCGCTGTATCGTTTCAGGGCCTGGTTTACAATGCGATGTACCTGCTAAATTTAGCACGAGAAGAGAGATTCTCAGTGTCTCAGATGTGAAACAGGCATGTCCACCTCCACACCCCCACCGCCCCTGGGCTGGGCACCCACGCGCTGAGCCCTCATATGCTTACACCATGCTGCTGCCTATAAGGCTGGGTATCCGGGCACACACTCCACTTACCTCGGTGTACCTCCACCCATCCACCCATGCCAGCTCCAAAGCAAATATCACAGCTCCTGCATGTCACTTCTGTTTTAGAACATTCCAAGGAGCTGCCAGCATGGGGCTGCACAGGTTAGGGTGTGTGGGTGTAGCGGGGGGCACGTGTCCTCACCTCTTCCGTCACCCCGATCATGCCTTCCTTCTGCAGCATCAGCCCCAGGCTGGCTGCGGCCTCCTTTGCCGACTTCCCCTGCGTCTCCGCCACGTGGGTGAGGATCTTGCTCTCTAGCTCCTGCAGCTGAGCTTCTATCTCCTCTTGCTGAAGGAGTCCTGCACGGGCCCCCCCACCTCGGCGCAGGAACTGAGTGATCCAGGCAGGGAACTGAGACTCCACCTGGGGACGAGAAAAAGTCTTGTGTGGGAAGGCTCCTGGAAGAGCCAGGGCCTGGGATGGGGTGGCTAGCTTGGGCGGGTGAAGGGTTAGGGAGGGAGTGAGGCCTGCACATAGGGCCGTAGGGCCGGCACACACCTGTTTAGTACCCCACAGGGGAAAGAGCTATGAACAACCCTCCCTGAGCATCTGTGGAAAAACAGAAGGACTCCCGTGAAAGCAGGCCCACATGGCGCCAAGTCTGGAGGTGTGGTCTTGTGGGAGTCACAGAGGCCATAGGCCAAGGGGCTCTGCTGTGTAGATTGCCAGGAGAAAGGGTCTCAGAGGACAGGCCATTCCGCAGGAACCTGGCTGGTTCCAACTCACATCATCGCGCACAGCCTGGATCTGCTGGGGCAGCTGATCCACACGGTCCTCCACAGAGCCCTGCTTCAGGGCCAGGGCTGCCAGCTCCTGCCGCAGGCCTGCCAGCTGGCCCTCTAGCCGCCCCAGCTCCTTCACAGCGTTCTCCTGGAAGGACTCCTGGGTCATCCTAGTCCCAGAAAGAGAAGAGTAAGCCTTGGATGTCTCTTTTGGAGGGTAAGACCATGCTGAGGAAAACAAGAAGGTCCTGAGTTGGCTCATGATACTAGGATGTGCGTCTACCACCTAAAAGAAGGCGAGAGGGTGTCCAGGCCGACTCTTGGAGCTTCTGGCTGCACACTGCAGCCCGGGGGCCTATGCACTGGCTTGCTTAGTCCAAGGAGCGAATTTTGAGACTGTCTCCTCTCTAAGCCCACAGCCCCTTACTCAGCCTCAAACCTCCTGGGCAATCATGGACATCCAGGGCATGGGGGGGCAGCCTGCAGGCTAGACAGGGAAGCGGTGTGTCCCAACGTTATTGCTGTGCCCACTGCCACCATCAGCCAACCCCCACCCACTAGCCTCCACTGTGCCTCACAGGCTCTAAGCAGTTGGCTCTGAGCTAGGTTTCCACCATCCCCTTCTCTGCTCAGTCACACGATCAGAACTCTGCTTTTTAGCTCCACTCCCCAATCCTGCCTGTGGAGGGGGTATGGGGAAGGCAGGAGGAGCAGATCTGGGCCAGATGGCAGTGCCCATTACCTTTGCCACTCTGACTTCAGCTGCTGGAGACGAGCCTCAGACTCCTGTAAGCAGGAAGCAGGAACAAATATAAGAAACAGCAAGCTCAGAGAAATCGGCCTCCAAGTAGGATCTGTTCTTGGCTGGGAGTCTGCTTAATCACATCCCTGCCCCAGTATCCTCTGACTCCTGCAGCAAACTTCAAACTAGTCTCCTGGTCAAAGTTCTCATGAGAGTCTCACCCATATTCAATGACTCAGGCATTCATACATTCACGTATTCATTCAGCATGTGCATACCCAGCACAACAGGTCGTTTGAAAACAGCCCTCCCTGGCCTCAAGCACCCTGCCAGAGAGTCCCTGGAGAGCATTCCCACTGAGGTGAGTTTGGTTCAAAGAGAGAAGACAGCCAACCCCCTGCCCCCATTCTACCTCTAAGCAGACACTTAGGAAGGACCAAGGGTCCAAGGTATCTTTTTCAGTCCAAGAATAGATGTTGAACTGGGTCAGGACCCCACTGTAGGCCCCTGAGTGGGCGCCTCCAAACCCGCCTGACCTGGGAAGCCTGGACAATCTTCTTGAAGAGGTCTTCTGAGTCTTGTTGATGTTCTGCTCTCAGGGTGACCAGCTCTTCCTGTTGAGCATGGAGCAGAGAGACAGGATTTTATAGACTCGCGCTTATACGTCTGTGTAATTTGCACTGCAGTTCAGCCCCATGTCTGTTTGATCCCAAAGCTAGAGATCTTTCCTTTACACTATAGTGCGCCTCTGTAACACGTGAGCCTCGCACCTGATCTTTACTGCACACCTACGCAGTGGCCGGTGCTACGTGGCTCCTTATTGATAATCTCATATCCTCACCACCATGTGGGGTAGGTATCAGAGTCTCCATTGCAAAGAGAAACAGGTTCAGAGAGGCCACCAGGTTGAGTGATGGCCAAGTGGCAGAGCTGTCTCTCACATCGGGGTGTACGGTGCTGGCCCCTTCCACCTCCCTGCCCCCACACCGCTGACAGTCATGAGTTCCCACGGGTGTCACCCACACAGGACACCCAGGCCCCTCTTCTCCAACCTGGATCCGGGCAGCCATGTCCCTGCGGAAGTCCTCCTTCAGCGCAGCCTCGCGGCGGCTCACCAGCCCTTCCAGGAGCCCCAGAGTGTCCTCGTGGCTCAGGCCACCGCCACCGCCACCATCTCTGCCCTCACTGGCAGCCCCCTGCCGCAGCTCCAGGCGCTCCAGCCGCAAGGCCTCCTTCTGCCAGTTGGAGGAAAATTCGGCAGCAAGTGCTTCCAGGCGCCGCTCCAGGGAGTGCACCCGGGACAGGATGTGCTGTTCAGCCTGGTGGGGGAGGAAAGGAAAACACCAGAGAGGTGAGCGGCCTGTGAGTGTCATCAGGCAACTGTGCTCCCTGAAAATGGGCCATTCGGAGACAGGCTGCACAGACAGGGAAGAGAAGCCACAAACACCCGGAGGTACACACACCCTGGGGCTCCATCTACCTGCCCTAGAGGCAAGTGAGCTCAGCAGCAGATAGATGCCCTGAGAGAGAGAAGCACAGGAGGGCACAGAGGAGGGCTGGGGTGAGAGCTGTGGTCCTGGGAGGATGGCTGCCTGGCGGTGACCTGGGCGCTGAGGCCCATCTCCCCTTCCCTCCCCACCTGTGCAGGTGCAGAGAGAGCAAGCGGAGTAGCGAGAGGAGGGGCTGAGCAGTTCAGCTGCTGACTTTAAACAGCATTCACTCTTCCCTTGATACCCAAAGCTGAAACCTGTGGCCACTGAGTTGGTCCCAACTCATAGCGACCCTATAGGACATGGTAGAACTGCCCTTACGGTTTCCAGGGCTGTAATCTTCACAGAAGCAGACTGTGGCTGCTGGGTTCAAACCACTGATCTTTCGGTTAGCAGCTGAACGCTAACCACTGCACTACCAGGGCTCCTCTCTTCCCTTGATAACTATGGCTAGAAGCCAAATAATTTGGAAAGGCTTCACTTTTCCTCTTTAATTGCATGCCCATGGAGAAGATGGAATAAAAACCATTTGGATGCGAGGGTGGCATTTGATAGCGTGTCATGAATTCTGAGAACCTGGCTGGCTTAACAACAAAAATCTCTGCCAAGAGGAATTATAAAACCCAGTCTGTCAACTGTTAATTAGAGGGCAGGGGCCTGCTGGTGGCAGAGACTTCTGATTTTTAAAAATTCAATTTTTTTTTTGGAACAGGAAATACGTTTGCATACTCAGCAAACAAACAAACAGCATAAAGCCGAGTTCCTCACTGCCTCATCCAACGCTGCACTCCCAAGCCAGCCAACTATTTTCATTAGTGTCTTTATGCAAATACACATTCATTCCTTACTTCCCCCTTTTTACATAAAAGGTGGTCCTGAAAGCAAATGGTACTTAATGGCTTTAATAATGATTACAAAAGAAAAAGTTACAGATAACAGAATAGGTCATAGCTTTATTAAATAATAAGATCATACTCAGGAAGACAATATCCACAAAAATAAATGGTTAAAAATGTGATACCAAATTCAATTCAGTAGGATGCAAGCAAAGTCCAAATAACTATACTGAGGGGAATAAAAAGAGTTTTACATTTGTAAAAGTTCTAAAGCTTTGTATGTGAGGTGTAAGGGGGGCAGCAGGGAATCACCTGCAAATACAGGCAGAGGCAGGCCTGGCCACTTTCTCCATTCCGAATTGTTGCTCATCTCTCGGGTGCCTACAAGCCTAAGACCAAACTCAAACCAAACCCACTGTCCTCAAGTCGATTCCGACTCATAGCCACCCTGTAAGACAGAGTAGAACTGCCCCACAGGGTTTCCAAGGCTGTAATCTTTACAAAGCAGACTGCCACATCTTTCTCCCGCGGAGCAGCTGGTGGGTTTAAACTGCTGACCTTTCGGTTGGCAGCCGAGCACTTTAACCACTGCGCCACTAGGGCTCCAAGCCTGAGACACTCACCTGGAAACGTGGGGATGACTCTCTGGGCTCCCACACCTCGTGCTGCCTGCTGCGGCCCTTCGCTGCCCACCAGGACACCAAGGCAGGCTGGAACATCTGCAGCCCATAGGGGTAGAAATACCAGGCACCTGTACACAGGGGAGAGGCTGGTTATCCGGGCAGAGGCTGAACAAGGAGGCACGAGCCGGTGAGGATGTGGCCTGCCTGCCACCAGTCATTAGTGGCCTGTCTCCATCATGTGAGCAGAGCCTCTGCTAGGAGGAGGTGAGAGGATGGCCGTTCCTTCTCCCTGAGGTAGCCACTTCCACCTGACAATCTCAGAGGTCCCCCTCAAGAACCCTCGTCTTTCTGTAGGTGGGAAAACTTGAGGAAAAACATGGGCTTTAATAACTTCGGGATGATGGGGGCACCCCAGAGGCTGGATGGTGGCTGTCAACCCTGGTTGTAATCAGAGTCAGCTGGGAGGTTTTAAAACACACCACTGTCTGGCCTCCCTCCAGAGAGTGAGTTAATTGGCCTGGGGTGGGCCCTGCGCAGGTGTTTACAAGCTCCCCAGGTGACTAATGGGCCGCCACGGTGAGGCTCACAGAACAAGAACGCACTGCCCCCTCCGAGAGAGGCTGTTTCCGGCCCCAGAGCAAAAGCACAGTGCTGCGGCCACACAGAGATGCTTGCATCTGGATTTAGGGCCATCTGTGTGTGATGTGGAAACCCTGGTGGTGCAGCGGTTAAGCCCTCGGCTGCTAACCGAAAGGTTGGTGGTTCGAACCCACCAGCTGTTCCTCGGAAGAAAGATGTGGCAGTCTGCTTCCATAAAGATTACAGCCTTGGAAACCCTATGGGTCAGTTCTACTCTTCCTACAGGATCGCTATGAATCGCAATCGACTTGATGGCAATGGGTTTTTGAGCGTGTGATGTGTTTACTCCTGAGCTCTGCTGAGGGAGGGGAAGAGACAGATAGACCCATGGACTAGAAGTCATATGGTGCGAGGTCTCGCTGCTCCCACACAGCCTCCTGGATGCTGTGACGTCTCAAGGGGACTAGAACATACAGCCTTTTCCTCATCAATACTTGACACAAGACAAGGGAGAGTGAAACCCTGGTGATTATCCATGGGTCGGGAGCAGGTGCAACGGAAGCACCTGGGCTGTAAGTCAGACCTGTACTACCTGCAGCAGGTCACTCAAGACTCTCCACATGTACCTCCATGTGACATGACAATGACATCGGCTCTACCAACCCCACAGGCTATGGTGAAAGGTGTGTTCTGTTTCAGCAACTTTCAACTGTGGCAGCCCATCAGACTCCCCTGGGGAGCTCTGAAAACCCACCTGCGTGGGGCCCCACCCCAGACCAACGAGCTCACTCTCTAGAAGGTGGGGCCAGACACTGGTATGTTTTAAAAGGTCCCCAGGTAACTCTGATATACATCTCACTCATGTGAAACTGAGATAAGGCATGTGAAGGTGTGTCCTGGACAAAACACTGCACGATGATAAAGGATCATTATTTTAAGGGTGATGGCTAGTTTCCACTGGATAGGAACAAGCTGTTCTTGTAACAGGAAATACAAAAAGGAAATCCACACTTGGAAAAATGTTCTACTTCACTATTAACAAATCGTTGAATAGGCACTAAACTTATCAACTCCCTCTCGTTATACATTGGTATAATCATGAAAATGGAGCACGTGGCCCGTAAGGATAAGAAAGAAACTCATGTGAAATTGTCAAATGAAGGTCAACACAAAATAAGTATATCAAAGTAACAATTACAACTATGTAAAAATTTTGAAATTCCAGTGATAGAAATCAGAACAACATAGAGAATCTTGTAAATAACTGGTATCTTAGTATAAAAAGGGGTGCTTATTTCTCTTTATCGCTTTATTGCTTTTATCCTAAAGACAGCTAAATATTAAACTTGCTCTTCCAAGGACTATGTCCTGTTTTGGAACGGAGGGACAATGACTATTGATAAGAATGCTGCCAGAGTCCCTGCTTTTCACCTGAGCCCTCCTGCACCAGGGCGTGTGTCTGTCCAAGAGGCACAAAGGATGTGTAAACATGCCTTGCAGGAGTGTGGACCCTGCACCAAGGACAAGAGCAGGGGTCTGGGGCAGTCCTCTTCTTCCCAGGGCACCTGAGACCACGCAGCCGCAGTCAGAGAGGGCCAGCTCAGGAGTTGGAGCTGTGCAGGCTCCGTCTGCCCCATTCATCCTGCCTCCTCTTCTATCCCTTTCTTGATCATGCGGGCTGTCACATTACCACTCAGGGCCAGCCTTTGCCCACATTCCACCCTGCCCCTGGCCAGCCCCCTCCGTGCTCTCCCCCTACACCTGAGGCTGCAGGAGACCCAGGCTGGGCATGGCTCACCGTAAGTCAGGCAGGTGAGGAGCAGCAGGAGCAAGAGGAACGACAGGAACGTCCTCAGGGATGAGACACGCCTGGACCACACGGGAGAGGGGGACAGCAAACATGGGGTGATGAGAGGAGGGCTCCAGGGCCACCATACCCACCCAAGAGTCCCTTGGAGTTCTTCTTAGTGCTGAACTAGAGCTGAAGGGGGACACCCACGAGCTCCTTATCATGCAAGGGCCAGAGCGGACGCTTCAGAGCTTTACTTGCAGGACTAGAAGTAATGGGGACAATCTTGGCTCTGAATATTAATATGTTATTAAAAATAATATATGATCTTTGAAAAATCTAAAATTTTCATACATAGAGGTCCTCTGAGCAAGCAAATATGGAGTCCCTGAGTGGTACAAATAGCTAATGCACTTGGCTGTTAACAGAAAGGTTGGAGATTTGAGTCCACCCAGAGATGCCCTGGAAGAAAGGCCCAGCAATCTACTTCCAGAAGATTGGTCATTGAAAACCCTGTGGAGCACAGTTCTACTCTGACACACATGGAGTCACCATGAGTCAGAATTGACTGGCTTGGTTGTTTTTTTTAAGCAAGCAAATATATTTTAAAGATGCATAACTCCTTAAACGAACTTATTATTTTCTTTTTTAGAAACTAAGGATTTTTTTTGTGTGACACAAATGCATTTTTGCCCCTCTTCTCAGCATGGCTGGTGCCCACCCTGACCTGGGTTACGGCCAGAGGGACACTGACTTCCTGACTCAGTTCTCTCTCCCCTGCCCAAGGGGCAGGCTCCCAAACCCTGTTGGCCTAAGAACAAGGGGACGAACCTACAGCAGCCTCCTGAATGAGACGGGGGTCCAAGGTGCCACAGGTCAAGGGGAAGTTTAACTTTCAGGGAACCCCACTTCTTGGCTGGAGGCTAAGGCCTAACCAGCAGGGGCAAGGCCGCGGGATTTCTCTGCGAACCAGGAAGTGGCTGGAGTGGTGACGGTTTAGGAGGAAGTACCCAAGAAGAAACCACCTCATCTGCCCAGAGCCCTGCTTGTAAGGCTGTCACAGGAGCAGAAGTGACCCCGACTCTATGCTGGGTCAGGAGGGATGGGCCCTGGGGCACCCACTAGTCAGAGCTCCAAGTCAGCTGGGAAAAAAACAATGGAAGAAAGACCAGATGCAGGTTTGGACACTTTCCCCGTCTCCTCTGTCCCGGAGCTTTCCAGTTCATTGTCGAAGCTGGAGTCACTAACCTGGTTAAAACGAAGACATCGAGGAGGGAGGCGGCCGTGGTCAGGCGGTACCAGGTGGTGCCAACCCACCAGTAGAGAAGCCCGAAGAGCCTGCCTGGAAAGTGACATCACAGGCTCAGTTTCCACCTGGCACCCCATGGCCTGCAGGGGTGGTTTCGAGCAGTGGTCTCTCCACCTGTGATCCTCCCTGGCTCCACCCCAACATCAACCTGGCAGCATGCCTCTGTTCTGCCCCATGTTGCCCAGGCCCTCTAACCCACCTGCCCACGCCCCACTGTCCTGCTCTGCAGCTGCCCCTCCCCTTCTAGGCAAGGGACCTCACGTGGCTCTTGGTGACTGTTCTATCACACATGAGCTTCCCAGTGGTCCTGCCATCTCTCGGTAGGGCTGGGCGCTCATGGCAGAGAGATGGAACACCCACCTGGAGAACGCCCACCTGCAAGCCAGCACCCACCTGGAGAAGTGACCACCATCCAGAGAAAAGAGCCTGCCCGAGAGACAGTGTCCCTTAGCCAGGAACCTGAACTTTGCTGGTCCATCTCCGCCGAGTAGCCTGCAAGGAGGAGAGGAAACCAGCTCAGTCTGCCCTCACTGTTAGGAGACCTGGGATATGGAGACTGTGGTAATTGCCTTCTCCCCTAGACTTCGACTGAGACCACATGCCAGCTCCTGCCCATTCTGAGCTTCCACAGGCCTTCCCTGGGAGCAGGCAGGGAGGGGCTGCTGAAGGAATGAAACAGGTTCTCAGTATTTTATTTCGACTAGAGCTCCTCACTTGCACATCCCTTCTCACCAACAAGCCTCAAACCCTCATCCAGAACTAGGCTAAGGGATCATTCATTCATTTAACAAATGATCACTGGGCACTCACGATACGTAAAGCCCCAGGGTAAATGCTGGCAATGAGCTAACACACAATGGTGTTGACCTCAGGTTGCCCACAGACTTGTCTGTGGGGGGGATGACAGATAAGTGACTGCACAGTCACAGCACAGTGCTTAGGGCCACCATGGCCTCAGTTCAGGGTGCCTTGGCAGGCACAGGAGGGAGGCCCAGCAGTCTGCGAGGTGCTCACCAGACACCGTGCTCTCGTCACAGAGTCTGCAGGAGCCTTGCCCCGGGGCTCGAAGGTGGAGGAAGCACCCCTACCTACATAGTCGTCTTCAGAAGAGTAACCCGAGGAGGAGCCCAGGAAGTCCTCGGAGCGCTTGCTCTCCATGAGCCCATTGATTCTGCTGCTCTCGGTGCCACCTGTGCCTCTCCTCCTCACCCGCAGGTCCTCACCTGGGGAGGGAGAGCACAGGGGCCTTCTGGGTCACCCGGAGCCCCTTTAAACCAGGCCTGGTGCCAGGCTACTCCGAGGAGGGGTCCCTGAGGACCTCCCGGGACACTCAGAGGGGCATCCCAGGAATCTGCTCAGCCTCTCCCCAGCTCTCCAGGCCCAGGTGTGAGGCCCTCCCCTCCGTCTCCAGGGTTTACAGCAGCCCTGTGGCTGCTTTGTCATCTAAAGGGGACTGGGGGGCAAGCAGGCTCGACTGCTCTTTCAAGGGTGTCCAAAGACAGGGAGCCCTTCCTCTGCCACAGCGATGGTTAGGAAACCCTCAGCAGGAAATTTTGTACCATTAGGTAGTTCCCAGAGGAAGCAAACCAAAACCCCCAAGCCCGTTGCCATCGAGTCAATTCTGACTCATGGCAACCCCATGTATTACAGAGTAGAACTGAGATTCATAGGGTTTTCCTGGCTATAATATTTATGGAAAGAAGATCACCAGGACTTTCTTCCACGGTGCCACTGGGTGAGTTTGAACCACCAACCTTTCAGTTAGTAGCCGAGAGCAAACTGTTTGCACCATTCAGGGCCTAAAGGAAGCAAAGCCCCAGGAAAAAGACTTGGGACACTCACTCCAGTAGGGGTCACTGTGCAGCTGGTCGTCGAGGACGGAGCTCCTGTCAAGGAGGGCGCTCCGGGCCAGGGAGGCAGCCCGGGGGCTACCTATGTAGGACTCCTTGATCACAGACTCGCTGTAGTAGGAGGTGTGAGTGTCGGAGGAGGGGGCCAGCTGCGGCGCTGGGGAGAGGCGCTTCATGTTGCTGGATTTCCTCTTCAAGGTCCTGTGGAAGGTCCACCATGAGGTGAGGGAAGGGCCAGGCAAAGGGAGCCCAGCAGGGCCACTGAAGAAAGCCCGCTAGAGCCCTCAGATAGTGCACCACTAGTCTTGCTGCCAGGCAGCCTGACTGTCTACTAATGCAGGTATGTCCTCTGCTCTCACTATCTCTAAATCTCACAAGCAGCCAGGTACGATTAGCGGTAAGTGCTGGAGCCAGGATTCAAACCCAGGTCTCTCTAATTTCAAAGCCTGTTTTTCCCCCATGCTTCTTAATGGAATAGCAATTTCTACAGCCCAAGGAACACCCAGACACATCCAACCTGGCCCCACAGAGCTAGCAAAGCCACACGCTGTTATCTGGGCCCCATGTCTGCCACTGGGGCAGGACAAGGAGGTGGTGCCCACCCTGGCTGTCCTTGCCCAGGGCCCCGCCGACTTGCTCCTCTCCTCAGCACTTCACTGGCCAACTGCAGAGGCCCCCAGTCAGTGAGACATGCGGGCCTGGGGGATAGTCAAACGGGCACACCCAACCACAGCAGATGGGACGCCTGTGAGCCCAGCTTGCCTCTCGGGGTTTCCGGCCAGACTTGTGCATGAAGCTGCCTCTCCCCACTTCCTGTTCTTGCACATGAGGGCAGCCCTGGCTGACAGAAGGCGGAGAAGAAATGGCACTGGGTCCTGGAACCCAGATAGGAGTGAATAAAGGAAGGGCCCCCTGACCAGACATGGACACCTCATCTCCACCCACAAGCAGCTGCAACAGGGAGAGGCCGTCCATGAAGCTGCCCAGTGCATCTACTCTGCGGGGTCTCTTGGGTTCCCTACCTGAGAGGACTGTCTTTAAACAGGGTGCTCTGGCTCCCCATGATGGAGCTCCCGCCACTACTGCTGCTGCCCCCGTCATCATCCCCCTGGGAGTAGCGCGTGAGGCGCTGGCTTCGTCGAGACATGATGAGGTGCCCGGGGATCCTTCCACTGAAGACTCTTGGGAGAGAAAGGAGGGCAACGTGTGAGACTTGGGGCTGTTCTCCAGCTCCTTCCTGGAGAAGGACAGGTGGAGGAACTGCCTTGCAGCAGAGAACAGATCATCCCTACTCATCCAACCCAAACAGGTCCCGAGCTGGGGGCCAGACATTGGCATTTATTAAACCTCATCCAGCACTGCCCACCCTGCTGCCGTCTGACTTCCCTGCCTGCCTCGGTGCTTGCCAGCACCCATGAAACCTCTTTTGTGAAGACATTGCTGGTTCAGTGGTAGAATTCTCACCTTCCACGTGGTAGACCTGGGTTTGACTCCCAGCTGCCACCTGCCTGTTAGTGGAGGCTTGCATGTTGCTATGACGATGAACAGGTTTAGTGGAGCTTTTAGACTAAGACAGATTAGGAAGGAAGGCCTGGCAATCTACTTCCAAAAACCAGTCAATGAAAACCCTGTGGATCACAATGGCCCGAACCACAACCGATCATGGGGACGGTGCAGGATCAGGCAGCATTTCGTTCCATTGTGCATGGGGTTGCCATGAGTTGGAGGCTGACTGGATGGCAGTTAACAATAACAACCACCTCTTTCATGGAGCTTTCTACAAAGTTTTGTAATTTTTGGTTTACTTGTCTTTGTCCTTTTTGGCACTGAGTTTCTCTAAAGCCAGAATGGGGCCTCCTTTGGCTCTATACCTTTGATACTCGGCACAGAATCTGGCATGTACTAGGCACCCCAGGAATGCATGATGAGTGACACTGATTGGTGTCACCCTGCACGGAGCCTGCAGTCCAGATGTCCCATCGCACTGCCCTCTCCCCCAGCTGCGTCATGTTCACTCATGTTGCTTCCCTCAGACCGCACCTTCCTTTCGTTTCTGCACATTTACATGCCCTGACTCATGGCCCTGATCAAACCTTAACTCCAGAAAACCTTTTCCTGGTAAACCCCGCCTACGTTCTGATGGTGCCTATATATTGTACTGCAATATCTATACATCTTGATATGATAATGATGATAAAATAACTTGTTAAATGCCTACTAGCTACCAAGCTCCTTACATACTCCGTTTCTGAGGCTCACAGGCAAGGTAGGTATTGTCACTCCCATTTTACAAGGGAGGAGCCAGAGGCGCTGGGATGACGACAGCTTGTCCGCGGTCACCCAGCCTGTCAGTGACAGAGTCATGGCTGGAGCTCAGATCTGACAAGGTGGCAGGGCCAGGACCTCTCCACGCTACCATAAAGTTGTCAAGTTGTTTTAGGAATGTGCTGTGTATACCCAACTAGAGTCTTTTACAGCCCCAAATATGTTGGCTACAGAGTAGTTACACTGCAAGTATTTGTTAACAAACTAACCAAACAGGGAGGTGGAGAAGCCAGTGCGAAATTACAGTCACTCCCGGCCCGCCTGCGCATCACCAACATGGCGGGAAATCAAGCTCTGAGATTGATAATCAGGACTCAAGGAGGCCAAAGTGAAGAGACCTGGCAGAAGGCGGCGTTCTCTGGACACGTGGGAGATTTATTAACAAGCCTTCCAGCTCCAGAAACCAAATTCACAATCTCAGATTGCAAACGTGGGGAGTCTCTGCTTAGCGCCTTCGCCTACTCCTAGTACAAAGTCATTACTGTAGCCTAGACCCCGCTCGAGAGTTTGTGACTTTTTATCACTTCTGATATTCCTGGTTGGTACTTAAATGACTAGCTCTGTGGGTTGTGTGGTGGGCACAGACTCTTTAACACATCCCAGCCCAGACTATGGAAACCAGAAGGTCTGGTTAGTCCAGCTGGAGAATTCTAGATAGTCTTCTTCTGAAAAACGAGCAGTCATATGTCCTGGTCTTATAAGCATCTTCCCAGGTATGATGCCCACCTGGCAGCCCTCCCTGGGTTCAGCCAGTACTAATAAGGGAACTGTATATGAATGGTAGTAGCCATAGCAGGAAGTAGGCCTTGGTCCTTTTCTATACTCCATTCCTTGTACACTAAATCCACTCCCACTACTGTTGTTGTTGGGTACTGTCGAGTCGATTCGGACTCACAGCAATTCCATGTGACAGAGCAGAACTGCCCCATAGGGTTTTCTAGGCTATAATCTTTACGGGAGCAGATCATCAGGCCTTTCTCCCACGGAGCCACCAGGTGGGTCTGAACTGCCAGTCTTTCAGTTAGCAGCTGAGAACTTAACTCTTGTGCCATCAAGGCTCCTACTCCCACTACACCCCCTCCCCCACAAAAAGAAAACACCTCCAGATGCCCACCCACGGCTCCGCCTCTTAACCCCTGCCCTGCCAAAGTGGATGCCACCTTCCCCTGGGGGAGAAACAAAACAAATGTTTATACAATACCCAGCTGCTTCTGGCTGCTCTAAATATTCTTGAAGAGGTGTATGGGGGACCCTGAGAACTGTCAGCAACCACCTTCACCCTCCCACACTCTCGGAGAAGCCTCTTAGTCTTTTCCTCAGGGTCTTGGTAGCACAAAACAGAAAGCAGATCTTTACCCTTTCGTCTGGGCTCCACAGGATGAAAAAGATCAACAAGGCCCCATCCTCCAAAATAAGAGGGAGCCTCTAGCAGCTCAAATATTTTGCTTGTCAGAAAAGACACCCCACTCCCCTCACCTACACACACACACACACACACACACACACACACACACACAATAAAGAAACCCTCAAATAAAACCACTGGATGGAGGACAAAAATCCCTGCCACTTCTGAGCTGAACTACATCCTTTTCTCAACTCCACCTTTTTCCTCCCTCCCCATCACATGCCTATATCATAGGCACAAGTATCCATCCACTCTTCAGCCTTAATCCAGATTTTGGTTATTTCTCACGTGACATTTTCACACTACATTCCCTCGTGGGACCCGCAAAACCTCCAGGTGTGAACTTCTCTGTCCCTTCATTCCCCACCGGCTGAACCTAGATTTTTACCAAAGGCGCACCTGCCCTGGCTCTGCTCTAAGTCACAGACCCGACTTCCCAGCCCGTTGGTTTGCGTTTTTAAAGAACAGAACAAAATGGACCCTCCTCCTGCAGCCCTGTCCCAGGAGCCCCGACAAGCAGCAGCGGCGGCGGCAGAGAACTGCCTGTCCCTGGAACCGCCTTGCTTGGCATGCGAAACGCAGGCACTGCCCGGGGCCAGCGGCAGCCGAGGCTTCACTCCCAGTCTCCCGGGAGGCTCTGCCGGGGAAGTCCCGCCTAGAGACGTCCGCCCTCTGGCCTGACCAGTGGGGCCGCCGGCTCCGGGGGCGGGCGCACGGCAGGGAGATGAGTCTAGGCGGCTGGCCTGGGCACGGCTCGGCCCTCCCCGCCCGGCCCAGGGGCGTGTGCCCGGCGGGGCTGGAGCCTGGCCCAGCCTGGCCGGGAGGAAGAACCAGGCCCTGGGCAGCTGAGCCCTGGCCGGAGCGGCCCGACGATGACCCGGGGGTCAGGCTGGGCCAGACGCCGCGGGAGGCGGGAGCGTGCCGGCCCAGCACCCTCGCCCCGCGCGTCTGCCCCCTAAAAATCCACGGCTGGCGCCCGGTTACCTGCTGCGCGGCTCCTCTGTGCGGGCCGGGGGCGTCCGAGGCCGGGCGCGCCCTTTTCCCGCGCCGAAATCCGCGAGCGACGCTCGGCGCTGGGCCGAGGAGGACCGGGCCGGGCTGGAGCGCAGGCAGCGGCGGGCGGCGCGGAGCCGGAGCAGGGGACAATGCGGCCTGCGAGGCCCGCGCGGCGCGAGTGGGGCCGGACGGCGCGCGCGTGGCCGAGTGTGTTTGTGTGCGCCTGTCAGTCAACGCTGACAGGCCGCGGCCCATTGGGCAGGCCCCGCCCGTCGATGCCGCCCACTGCCATCGCCCATTGGGTGGTTTGAACACAAAGGCCCCGGCTCGCCCCGCCCGCCGCTTGGGCAGGGGCTGGGCGTGCCCCGCCTGGAACCCCCCGCGCATGGGAGGCGCGCGGGCGGGGAGCGCGGGTTCCGGGCACTTGTCACAGGAGCGGGCGACTGGGAGAGAAGCCGAGGATCCACGGGGTTAGCTGCGCACTTGACCCCTGTCTGTGGTCCCAAACATGTGACAGACCTTCCGGAGCGCCCCCTCATGCGCCTCTCCTCACTGGGCCAGTGAGCGCGCAGGTCTCTATGCGCCCTTCAGGCTACGGCGTCCCAGCTCCTCGCAAGCTAACTTAACAAGTCAGGGATGGTAGGACCTTAAAGGCATTGGGTGATTGGGGGACGCTGCCTCTCTGAGGATGGCCCGAGGGATGGGGGGAGGGGTAGGGAAGGTAGAAGACCCCAGCCTGAGACTCATCTGGAGGGGTGGCTTTTAGCCTTAGCGGACTCTCAGTAAATGATTGCTGAAAGCTTGCGAAACGCCTGGCACTTACACAATTGTCCCCTTAACCAGGCATTTCTACACCCATTTAACAGATAAAGAAACAGGTTCATAGAGGTTTTAGGTGGTCTGTGTAAAGTCACACAGCTAGGAAGTGGAAAAGTTGAGATCAGACGATTCTCTCCACTTCCAAGTCAAGTTCTTTCAATTTCAGGATTGATTTTGGGATTCCAGACAGGGCAAGAGGTGCTGCCTCCAAGTGGCTTTCAGGCAGAAGCACAATTCATGCTGAGATAAGGCAGGACTGGCTACCTATGCCTCTGCCTCACTCAGATTTGCACACCTTGTGTGGAACAAGTGCTCAATATTGAATCAGTAAAATGCCAACTGGTTCGGGGGTCTTGTTCCTTGGCTCCCCACGGACCAGTTTTACAGATGTAAGTGCACAGCTCAGGACGAGTCACTTCCTGTTCAAGCTTTTCAAAGGGAAGGTGAAAGAAAGTGTCGTTATTTCACTTTTAAAGTGCCAGGAGGAAACGAGGCAAGAAATGTCAAAATCACTGAGGCAGGTATAGGAAGATGCCGGTGTGTGTGTGTGTGTGTGTGTGTGTGCAAACCTAAAGCCTTCATGCTGTCTGCTTCAGCCTGACTCCAGAAACAATGGCTACCCTTCCTGGGCCTCCATTGCCCCACCTGGAAAAGAGGGGCCTCACTTTCCCCTTTTTTGTGGTACTGGTGAAGAATATTGAATATACCATGGACTGCCAAAAGAACGAACAAATCTGTCTTGGAAGAAGTACAACCAGAATGCTCCTTAGAAGCAAGGATGGCGAGACTACATCTTACATACTTTGGGCATGTTGTCAGGAGGGATCAGTCCCTGGAGAAGGACATCATGCTTGGTAAAGTACAGAGTCAGCGAAAAAGAGGAAGACCCTCAACGAAATGGATTGACACAGTGCCTGCAACAATGGGCTCAAGCATAACAAGGATTGTGAGGATGGCGCAGGACTGGGCAATGTTTTCTTCTGTGGTACACAGGGTCGCTATGACAGAACTGACTCAGTGGAACCGAACAACAACAACGACACCTGCCCTTACAGCATCTTGAAGGCAACAGTGCCACCAGTGTTGTTCCTGGGGCTAGACCGTGAGTCCCTGAGGGCAAGGACCGGCTCATGTCTGAATATTGCCGAATGTGGAGCAAGATAAATGAGAACTCAGTGCAGACTTAGGAGCAGCATCTGGCGAGGGGAGGAGCCCTCTCTTGACGCTTCTCCTTACTGGGGTGTTTTATTCCCCAGTTCTGTCCCAGTCAATTCCAATGGAGTCCCCATATCCCCCCACCTTATTACAGAGTCTGTTTCCTTCCTCTCCGAGGGTCCTGGCAGGAAGCCCCCTTCCTGGAATGTGCCAGTTTGTGGAGTTAAGCGAGGGTATGCCTCCCACTCCTCCCAGGCAAGGGTCACACCCACAGGCTGTCTGGAGGCAGGTCTCTTGTAAGCTGTGCTGCCTCTATGGGCCTGTAGAGGGCTGAGTAAGGGACCGCATAGATATTAGGCCACTATCCATCTGTGGGTTTGTTGTACTGTGGTGGCTTGCATATTTCGATGATGCTGGAAACTATGCCACTAGTATTTCAAATACCAGCAGGTCACCAATGGCGGACAGGTTTCAGTGGAGCTTCCAGACTAAGACAGACTAGGAAGAAAGGCCTGGTGATCTACTTCCAAAAATTAGCCAGTGAAAACCCTACGGATCACAACAGAACAATGTCCAATGTGGTGCTGGGAGATGAGCCCCCTGGGAAGCCCTGGATTCTCAGCCGGGTGCACCACTTGTGGCTCTGTGATCCTGGGCCAGTCGCTTTACCTCTCTGAGCCATTTTCCTCATTGTAAAGTGCAAATTCAATAATAATAACAACTGTTTTGCCCACCATGCTGACTGCTTGTGTGACCTCTCCCTGCGTGTGAACTCAAGTGAGGAAATGTATGCAGAAGGGTGTCAAGTGCTGTTCAAACACAAAGGATTTTGCCACCTGTACCACCTGTAGTCTCTGGGAGAGAAGGGGAGAGGGGGTCAGTGGGGGTTAAGTGGCTCCTCTGCGCTTCTCCTACAATCGGACTTCCCACCCTTTACCTGTCCGTCTCCCCCTGCAGTCTCTGGACACGTGTCTCAGTGACCTGTCCACAGTCAGGGCTCAACGCACTTGTGTCAAATGAGCGCAGGAGTACAGGGGAGGCACTCAGTAGCTTCCCTGCAGTCCAGGCCACGCGCCCTGCTCCTTGCTCCCTGCTGTTCTGCTCCCAGGGTGTTGGCAGCAGCGTCTGTCATTTAACCATCACAGGCAGAATAGCTTCAGCGGGGGTGGCGGGAGGGAGACTTTAACGTTGGGCTTCCTAGCTGTAGGAACACGTTTGACAACTGTCAGGCCCAAGGGGCAGCCACCTCTGAGAATCTTGGTGCCCCACAGTCAGTCCCCAGGGATATCTGTGCACTCCCTGCCCCAGCCCTGCCAGAAGCCTCCTCCATATTTATAGAATCTTCCATCCTGAGAGCTCAAAGAGCTTCCTCACCCAGTGGCAAGTGCAGTTAAGCTGTTTTATGGAAGGAGAAGTCCAGGCTGTGAAGGGAATGGCGCTGGATCCGGCCCACAAAGTGGACCAGCTGGGGCTCCAGGGACAGAGCATGCATCCCTGACAGTGGCTGGACACTGCCAGGAACCGCTGTGTCTGAGTCATCTCTGACACCCACACCTATGACAGCCCTGACTCCCCAAAAATGCTCAATCAAAGCACATCTGCTGTCCACTGGGCTCCTTTGGGCTTCCACACCTTCAAAAGCCTGATGCCTTGGCGTAGCCTTCAAAGCCCTTCAGATGCAGACCCCCTGCGGGCCTCGCAGACGCTCCCCAGAGCTGAGCCCTGCTCCTCCGCTTTGCTCTGTGCCCTTGGCCGCCCTGTCCCCTTGGCCTGTAGTGCCTTTTCCCAGCTCCTCTGCCTTCTGAAATCCTAGTCATCTTTCCTGGGTGGCTCAAATGTTGCTTCTTCCCTGAAGGTGCCCCTGCCCCAAGTTCCCAAGGCAGAAAGAATGGCTCCTACACTGTGCTTCCAGGTCCCATGCGTCCCTCCATCCACACACTCCTCCTTCTGTGTTCTGTATACTCACTTCTCTCTCTAGAATAGTGTGCGCGCTCCAAGAGCAGGGTCTGTGCTTACTGCTGGTCTGTGACTAAGCCACCTGGGAGTACAGACTACGGCATCAGACTGCTTCTGTCCAAGTTCCGTTTACTCACTGAGGGGTCTTTGATGAGTTACTCCATTTCTCCTTGCCTCACTTTCTTCGTCTTTGTTGTTATGGTTGTTAGCTGCTGCTGAGTTGACCTCCACCTCATGGCGACCCTATGCACCATAGAACAAAACACTGCCTGGTCCTGCGCCATCCCCATGATCGACTGCAGCTCAGACTATGGTGATGCATGGGAATACATGTAACCTAAAGATCCATAGGATCGCTAGTTGACATGAAGTCACACTGGCGTAGGGTGAGATCCATAGGATCTCTAGAACAGGAATAATATTTGCCCATAGCCCAGAGGATATCAAGAGGACTGAAAACACAAAACCAAACCTATTGACGTTGAGTCTATTCCAACTCTTAGTGACCCTATAGGACAGAGTAGAGCGGCCTCATAGGGTTTCTAAGAAGCGGCTGGCGGCTTCAAACTGCTGGCCTTTTGGTTAGTAGCCTAACTCTTAACCACTGCACCACCAGGGCTCCATCATGAGGACTAGCTGGGCCTAAGAGTCTCTGAGTGGTGCAAACGATTACCATGCTCGGCTGCTAACGGTAAGGCTGTAGGTTTTAGTTCACCCAAAGGTGACTTGGAAGGAAGGCCTGGTGTTCTCCTTCTGCAAAATCAGCCATTGAAAACTCAATGGATCAGAAAAGGAGGATGGGAATGGTTGCACAGCTTAAAGAATGTAATCAATGTCACAGAAACTGTTGAATTGGTGTATGTTTTGCTGTGTATATTCTCAACAACAGCAAAAAAATAAAATTTTAAAATAGCTTAATAATAATAATAAAGAAAACCCTGTGGGGCACAGTTCTATTCTGACACACATGGGGTTGCCATGAGCTGGAATTGACTTGATAGTCGTTGGTACTGGTAGCTGGGCCTCGCACTCAGTAAGTGTAAGCTGTGATCATCACTCATCACCTCCCTCCCCGCCCTAGCACAGCACCTGGCTAGCCAGTGTCTGCTGACCAGGTAGAGGAATGGCCTGACCCGTTGTGCACTCAGAAGGGATATCAGCGTCAGAGTTGGGGCCTCTGAGTGCACTGGCCCATGGGCCAGAACTCCTGGGCTGACTTTGAAGGTCTTGCCAGATACCTA